ATTTGTGTGTGTGTGTGTGTGTGTGTGTGTGTGTGTGTGTGTGTGTGTGTGTGTGAGCATGCGTAGTGAAACAACAAACTAATGTGCCAGCATCTGGACAAGAAAGATCTATCTCACCGTGATTTCACAAAGCACAACAGAGGTCAATTTGATGAAAATGCACACTGCACAACACCAGTATCCGAACTGTCTTGGTCCAATCCGATCTGAGTCTGCAGAAGCTGGTTCGTTTGTACTATGAGTATCCATTCTTCCTTTAACTTTATTACTCCGAGTAGACAATAGGAGCATCTAATGAAACTTAACCGGTCTCTGAGCGGACGGTCCCAGGGTCCGGTCAGATCTCAGAGTGCTTGAAGTATCACTGTTAATGCAATCTTTTACAATTCAAAATAGATTTATTTTGACTCGGAAATTTTAGATAAAATTAATGTATAAACCACTTTGTCTTAGGCTTTAACAGTGACTTTAGTCATTTTATGAATATTTTACTTGTATACGCTGTTCCGTGTTTCACGAGATCTGGAGAGAAAAAAAAATTCCGTCAAAACGTGGAAAATAATTCTGGGGTTGAAGAGTTACTACCGGGTGCCCATTGCGGATCGCATTGGGTCAGGTTGGGTCAATTAATGACGACTTTAGTGCACACTACAAATAGGCCCCTCTCTAATTGTTGTGTCTAATTTGACAAGAATACATAACTGTTGCTGTCGTGCGGTGTCGTTGAACACGAAACTTGCCGTTCGCCACACAATCATTTCCCTCCATAATTGGTTCAAGTGACAACTTTCTCTCATAACGCGTTGCTGTGTTGACAGCTTCTTGAATCCCACAGATAAGGGAAAGGTCGATAGCCTTTAGTTAGATCTATATTATAGTATCAGTTTTTCCAATTCTACACTGCCATTTACCACATTCTGGGCATGCGTTGTGCGTGCACATCCAGCGTTTGATTTTAAAGGTCACGGTCGAATTCAGTCGAATTGTGCCTTAGCGGTAGCTTTTGCCTCACCATGGAGGAAAATCTGGTTGGCCCTACTGAATTCGATTAATTTCAGTTGAATTCGATTGGCAGTGTGCACTGGGTATAACACCCTCAGACGCTGCTGCAAAGGTTAAGGGGAGGGGGGGGGGCTTTCGTTGTGTAGAGGTTAAGGTGTTCGCCCCTCTTTCAATAGGTCCCGGATTCGAATCCAGATAGAGATAGAGATGGAAAATTTTCTTCTCTAAAATTTTCTCCTTTTGCATCTTGTCCTTCTGTCTTATCATGTTCTGTCGTCTGCTTTCGTCTCCACTTTCTACCCCCACCCCCTCACTTCCTTTGCCCCCACCACCCCCACCCTCACCCCTTTGGGCTCCTGACTCTTTCTGCAGCCTTTACACTGCTACTCTTTCGTTTCTTCTTAAATGTGCAGCCGAATTAAGTGGGGGCGTCCCAGATTTTTGCTCTACGTAAGAGAGAAAGCTACCATAATTTTAGCACAATACAACCAAATTGACCCCTCGACCTTGAAACACAAATTAAATGTGCTAGATTTTGAAGGTCACAATAAAATTAAGTCGAGTTCTATTGAACTGTGTTGAAACGATAGATTTTGCCCCTCCCTGGAGAAAAACTATATGGCTGGTTCTGACTCGATCGACTGAATTCGATTGACAGTGTGCACTCTGTACTAGGTATGCATATCGCTATGACCGTCCCGTCTATCACCTCGTGACTCACCCCCAAAGCAAAGTAATAGCAGATTTTTGTCTTTTTCAGTCACCAAACCAGATGTGAGCAAAGTACGACCCGCGCATGGGCAAGATTTGGCCCACGAGCAATTTCAGTCTGGCCTGAGGGTCGACCAATTAAAATAATGAACATAGCCGCGGTGAGTCGATTTATATATTATTTAAAATTATTTTTTCAACCGTCCGGCTTAAAGATTAAATCAACTACAGATCATGAAATGCCCTTGAATGGCATACATTAGTAATACGTTATTGTGTTCGTTGAAGTCTCACGTTGGAGAGCTTGAGAATTTCAACCGAATTCGCCCTGTCTTCTGCTTTGGCCCACAATAGGATATTGGTAATCACTTGATCCGCCCACGACTTGCGCGTGCCTGCACCAATAGCCTGTGGGCTGATCGGGAGTTTGTTGTGATACCCATGCTTTGTGGGTTTTTCCCATTACTTTCTATTATTTTTCCAAGCCTTTTTTTTTAGGTTTCAGGTTCAACAACAAAAAATGTAGCATTGAAGAGTGCAACTCTGAGGTGGATCGCCGTCGTGTTAAAAGTTCAGAAGAAAGAACAAATTGATTTATTAAAAAGACAACTTAGTCGATTTATCTGAATTCTATATTATTTTTTAAAGTCCACTTTTTGTTGTTTATTTGAAAATAATTTTTTAATTAGCTTATGAGACATGTTTTGTAGAAAACGTTTCCCGAAAAACAAAAACAAAAAACAAAAAGCAAAACCGAAAGATTTTTTACGTTTTCCGATCTTATCATGATGGCGATATTATCTTTGCGTGATCTTAATTGAAAGTACATGCCATTGTTAGAAAGTGGAAGAAGTCGTTCAAATTGGATGTTGTTTGTGTGTGTGTGTGTGTGTGTGTGTGTGTGTGAGTGTGTGGGGGGGGGTTGGGGGGTGTATGTATGTATGTATGTGGGTATGTGCATTTGCGTGTGCGTGTGTGTGTGTGTGTATGTGTGTGTGTGTGTCTGTCTGTCGGTGTGTTTGTTCGTGTTTATAAGTGTGTAGGTATGTGCACCTGTGT